CACAAACTTGTATATATGTGTATATATAAATACATATATATATATATATATACATATATATATATATATATATATATATATATATATGAATGTATGTATATATATATATTTACATATTTATACATCTGCCTATCTATCTATTTATCTATCTATACACACACACACACACACACACTCACACACTCACACACACACACACACACACACACACACACACACACACACACACACACACATATATATATATATATATATATATATATATATATATACATTGTAATAGCCTCCCTAACAAGGATTCGAACCTCAACCACTCTAGGTGTGACCTAAAGTCCGCAGAATCGCTCCCTCTCGGTCATTCTTAGAGGAAATCTCATCAGGAAAGGTAGATATACATATATATGCGTGTAGGTGTGGCATTCCTGCAATCTACAGCTCATAAATACAGGGAAGTGGCACTTAAAGCCGGGTGAACTACATATGGAAGTGCCTCTGCTATGAAGTCATCGACCCATATGGAACCTGGTTTTTGTGTGGAACGGCTTAACGTTGTTTTCTCCTATGTTGCCATTTTCTAGCGCGGTCGAAGCGAATCTCGAGATCACTTCCGAATGGTCAGTTAGCCTGAGGCAGCCGCTGGACGTCGACTTTCGCTCCGTTCAGCAATTAGGGCAGCTGCCCGAGCACGCCGACGGGATGCCAGCGCTCAAATGACACAAAGATGTGGAAAAGATGATAACACTGGGCTGAGGCATTAACGGGATAGTTCGCTGGCGAAAGTTATGGCACATTACATGGTTCACTGAAACTGTTTCATTAGCATCGCTAGGATGATAAGAAAATCAGCAGTATAACAAATAGAATGGAGGATAAGGTCAAAGATTAGAATATTTTACAATATATTTGTGGTATTTAGCATACATAGTTCTTAGATGTCATTTCTTTGAATAAAAGCTGGCGTCGACTCGCTTGAATAATTCCATATGCTTAGTTGGCGGTTACCCAAGAGATCTTCGTAATACTCACAAGGAGGATCCAGACTCAATGCCGACCAGCCCGTGCCCGGCCGCGCCTGCAAAGGTGTTGCAAAACTGAGCGGAAGGGCGTGAGGCAAGGTATGGCATTGCTAAAGTCATTCACTCAATCAGGCTGGATTACAACACTCGTTCAATCTGGCGATGATGCACCAGATCTAGTTCCCGATGATTGCGACTAGAAGCGTACTTGCTCATTGCTGGAAAGCGATTGTATTAATTGTTAATTGAAGTCGATCAATAAAGATTAGTCAATGGAGACAGTATCTGGTAAAATCTTCTCCAAATCTTATAATCAGGAAGAAGAGAAATTGTTTTCGGGTCGATGTACGGTACATCGGGTGGGCAATAAGCTACAAGAAACATGTCCTCAAAATTTGATACTAGGAAAGTAGACCTAAAAGGCGGGGGGCAGCCAGGGCTACATTCCTAGGATTCACGTAACTGTTAATGCAGACTCGATGGAATGTTCATTTAAACGCAGTTCAGCCTCGTCTGTCAGAAACATTGGATTCTTTTCTCTTTTTTCTTTCTTTTCAAGCTATCATCCGACAGCTTAAGAGTGAATGGATAAGTTACCCTTCACCTTTATTATACTAATGCACACACTCGCACGTGTTCATATCTACTTCTATGTATGTGTGTGCGGGGGCGCGGTCTACTAAAGGTGGGAGGCAGCATATATGCAATATACATATATAGGTAGTTTGATAAAGACATATGTGTATGTGTATGTGATTGTGTGTGCATTATTTCCCTTCTTTTGCTGTTACTTAATGATAATGAAAACGATCCAAGGAAAGATATAGAGATAAAACAGCTTCTGCCAAATATCAGCTGAAGCAGAGAGTCTAGAGCACTTGTTTTCCATCTCTATTGTTCCTCAAAAAAGGGGCCAACTTTCATATGAAAGTCTTTCAAACTCAGGCTTAGGGAGATGGAGATTCCCTTTACATATTGCTACTTCAAAGATCAGCTGATTTATCATGCATGCACATAAACTAGAAACAGGTGGTCCAGGTGACGGGGAGTTTAAGAACTAGGAAAATTTGTTTTATTGGACCTTGCGCCATTTTCGTATTTTTTTACGAACTCAGAAGTAACCTTTTCATCATTATGTAGTATTGTGACCATTATTGCTATCATTTCTATCATTCGTATTGTTTTTATCACTATTATCATCATCATCTTCATTACCATTATCATTATTTCGTTATTGTCATCTTTATGTTTTATCATTGTTATTATCATCATCATCATCATTATTTTTTATTATTATTATTATTGATCTTATCATTATTATCATTATTGTTGTTGGTGTTGATTTCAGAGAGAAAAGGATTTTATTACCATTATACTATCATGCAAGGCTGTATTCACAAAGAGACACACATGTGTGCATATTCTTTCACTGGAGGCAATCCCTTCCCGCTGGACCCGCCACTCACGGCCTCCTCCTCCCGCAGCACGTGGCTGGTGGCGGCGGGGCGCTCCGTGATCCCGGGCTCCGTGTACCGCGTGGCGGTGCAGGCCATCCACACGTCGCAGCCGCTGGCGATCCGCGTCGGCCTCGCCCACGCGGGGGAGCAGGTGGCGGCCGGGAAGGCGTCGCTCAAGCCGGGGGAGCTCAGCGAGATCCTCATGAAGGTATGTGCGGGCGGGCGCCTGCAGATTTTTTTCTCTCTCTCTTCCATGATATTCTCTGGTGTATAGGTTTATTCTCTCTCTCTCTCTCTCTCTCTCTCTCTCTCTCTCTCTCTCTCTCTCTCTCTCTCTCTCTCTCTCTCTCTCTCTCTCGTGCAGTGTGTATCTGTCACATAAATAGACTTCATACCAGTTTCAAATGAAATTAGTTACCATGGACTTAAAATGTCCTGCTTCACGTATTTTAATAAGGCCAAAATACCAATCGGCTGATTCTGCAGTATAAAACGAGAAATGACATGTATATCATTACATGTGGTCGTATTTACCGGGAGTGGAGATCATTGTATCTGCAAACTCTCAGAAAAATACTAAATGATCATCGGTTCCCTTGTAGGAAAAGGATTTTTGTAAATGCATTCGAACACGTCACAAACTTCTTGTAACGTTAAATATAGGCTTGTTTGTATCATCCAGAAATCCCTAATATTTTGATACATTGTTTTGATGTTGCCTTATGGTTGCTATAAAACACGATTTTGAAAAAAAAGATTAGTTTCACATAAAAAGAGTTGTTAATTTCACATAAAAAGTCAATAGAAACTAGGAAACTACTTCATATGCTATTTTGTAATTTTTTATTACAAACAAAACATTGCGGAAGCTTCAAGCAAAATGGAAAAAAGTACCTAGGTTCTCTGCAACTTATCTTGTTTATACAGACCACTCTACCCATGCTGTTGAAACTTACAAATATATTTCTCAGATCCAGCCAAAACATTTTTGCATTGTTCTTTATATGAAAAATGGAAGGTGAATGACGCTTTGCATCTTCTCATATCCACCGTGTGTAAGCTCCGTGTTCGCATGGAGTCCGAATCTCAGACAACTGGATAATTCCGACGATCCTGGCATTTCCATGTCTTATTGCCTGGATTATATCAACAAGTCAAGAGCACACACTCTCCTTTGATATATCTAAGCCTGTAACGTTATATCATTGACGTTTATAGAGGTACGGAATGATTTGAAGATATTCATCCCACCGAAGTCAATACCACATTATAGGACTCGAACATATTCTTGCCATGTCGTTTCAGCGATTGTCATGATTTACTTCTAATTTTACCTATATATTTTACCTATATAGAGTGAACATGCATTTGATACACTAGTGAAAAGGCTCAGAAACATTTTATACATCTTTATATAAGAATTTTGTATCAAGACACGTACGATGCGATTCGTAATAAATGAAAATATAAATCTAAATAATAAATTAAAATATAAGTCTGAGGCGCACCTGTAATATGTCAGGGAGCATGTGCTCTGATTGGCTGGATCACATTGCATCAAGGAAGAGCCATACAAACTGATACAAACCGAAAAGATGGTTCAACAGGTTTCGGAAATGTGCGCATAAAGGGCAAACATGTACCAAAGTGTTTAGGGTTTCGGAAATGTTACAAAAAGGCCTGATACTCCTCGCTTGCGGGGGAAACTTGCTGAGTGTCAGATTTGTTTGTAAAGGAAAGTCGGACCAGGGAGGCCGGGCCATAGCCGAAGGCCCGGGCGAAGCTAGAACTTCGCAAATCGCAATCGTCGGACCAGGGATCAACCAGCCGAAGGAGGCCGAAGGCACTGTCTGTCCGGCAAATCCTGAGCCAGGCCTGTCTCCGAACACAAACATACACTCATGCACACACATACACTCACACATACACATACGTACATTCATCTTTCAGCTTGAAAAAAAATCCAAAGCTGAATATTCGCCGGTGTGAGGATCATCAGGATTAGCGACATGATTGTATATCAGGATATTCTGAATCCGGTTTCCCATAATGATTTCTTCTTTGCCGTGTCAAACACTAGTCTGCGCCCTGCAGGAAATAAGCAAGGTCACAAAGGAGCAATATTCTGATATATACTTACATCCATGTTTTCATATGCATACATACATACATACATGCATACATATATACATACATATATATGTGTGTGTGTGTGTGTGTTCTTATAAACACACACAATACAGCGGACCATCTCCGAAGGCCTACAGAGCAGCTGACTCGCAAAGCGACTTCTGGGAGTGTTATGGGCTAGCAAAGACCAATAATCCGGTTTCCAGTTTTCATTAGAGCAGAGGCAATATCTATATTCACGAAAGAGTTTTGCCTACATGTCAGTTTTGGCCTTGGGTTGTCATTTTTTTTTTTTTTTTTTTTTTTTTTTGGGGGGGGGGGGTTGAAGTGAAGGCAAAGAGGAAGAAAAATTATAAGTCGACATCCCTGACCAGAGAAAATTGTTTAATCATGTGAA